TTATCATCATCATCATCACCCTCTTTCTCCTCTTCTCCTCCTCATCTCCCTTCACCTCTTCTTCTCCTAATCATCATCATCTCTATCTCCCTCTTCTCCTCCTCTCTTCTTCTTCTTCCTCTCTCCCTCCACCCTTCTCCTCCAAGGCACCCCCATCTCCTCCACCTCGACCACCCCACCACTCTATCTCAATCTTCTTCCCAACCAACTCACCCCTCCTCCTCCTCTCCTCCCCTCCTCATCTCATCATCATCATCATCTCCTCTCCTCTCCTCCTCTTCCTCATCTCCCTCCCTCCCTCCTCCTCCTCCTCATCTCCCTCCAACTCTTCTTCCTCCTCCTCTCCTCCCTCAACATCATCTCCCCTCTCTCCTCTTTTCTTTTCTCCTCTTCCTCCCTTCCTTCCCCTCCTCTTCCCCCCTTCACCCTCCCTCCTCCTCTCCACCTCCCCCTTCATAAATACCGAGATAAACCCATAAGAGGAAATCCTCCCGGCGACCGCTCCCGACGTCAAAAAAAATAATAAAAAAAAAAAAATAATAAAAAAAATAATAATAATAAAATTAAATTAAAATAAAATAAAAAATAATAAAATTAAAAAATAAAAAATCCCCGCACCCAAAGGAAGATAGGAGAGGCAGCACAGCGGAGGTACTTCAGACGACACTCCCGTGGTATCTGGGGAACGGCCCAGGGCGAGGGTACCCACACGGGCTCTTGGGGCTCCGGGTACTCGGATGGGACTCGTACAGGGGCGGTTGGCTCTCGGGGATTGCGACATTTGTAAAGAGGTCATTTTGCCTCTTTAGAAGCAGGATTGGCTGGCTTCTGCTAAGCCATGGACTCTGGTTCCCGAGGCTTCTTGAGTCACATACGCACATACGCACGTGGATGTATGAAGGCATCTATATCTCTATATATAGGCCTATATCTCTATATATAGGCCTATATATCTATATATAGGCCTACATGAACAAACACAAACACACACACACAAATACACAAAAAAGGCAAGCTAACAAACACACGAAACGAGCAAACAAATACACACAAAACAGGCAAGCAAACACACCCAAAATAATTAATCAAATACACACAAACACACACACACCATGGGCCCTCCTCCCCTCCCCACCACCATCCCCTCCACAGCCACCCAACCCACCCACCCCCTTTCCAATGGAGTTAATAGCCCACTTAGGGATAAATTAAATCACAATTGAATCTCGAACGCACCAGCCTCCCGATCTGCGATGTAATTAAGACTTTGGGATAATTCGCGCGGCATCTTGTATCGTTATCGCTTTATTTATCTATTAATTAATCTATTTATTTATTTATCTTTTTTTTGAAGGTTAATGGTGAGTTTCATGATTTTCAATGGACGGTTCCGGGTGAATTTATAAATTATATTACCAACGTTAATAACAATAATTAATCATCATCATCATCATAAAAATAATAACAATAACAACAACAAAAAGAGAATAACATAAGTGTTTTAAGTAACAAAGAAAGCAGAAACGTAATTAACAATGATAATGATCAATAATAATAATATTAATAATAATAATATTAATAATAATAATAATTAACAATAATAATTACCATGATAATAATAATAATAATAATAATAATAATAATAATAATAATAATAATAATAATAATAACAACAATACAAAATCGAAATAAATAGACAGAAAGAACAGGATGAAGAATTCTAGCGCAATCTATTTCACCGCCGTCCCTTATTCATGCCTCCTATGTTGCAAAGTTCGCGTACCACAACCAATATATAGGCAATACCGAACAACAACCCTTCCCGCTCTTGTAATTAAAAAAAAAAAAAAAAAAAAAAAAAAAAAAAAAAAAAAAAAAAAAATATATATATATATATATATATATATATATATATATAATAATAATAATAATAATAATAATAATAATAATAATAATAATAATAATAATAAATAATAATAATAATAATAAATTAAAAAATAAATAATAACGATAATAACCACTGACAGCACCAACAACAATAATCATATTAACAAGACATACATAGCACTGTATATAGGCCTAGGAGATACGAGCTCGCGGTGTGCAATGGTCGTTAACCAATTGCGGGAATCAAATTATAAACATTTGCCTTATAACCAGAGAAGTCACGAGAGCGGGCATAGGAAACAACCTATACGATGTTCTAGGCCTAAACAAAGTACCATGGTGGCCTATTTTTTTCTGAAAATGCCTACCAGGATGAACCACGCATCATACATAAACTATGAACAAAAGGCTTCATTATATCTCTTTTCAGACCTACTCCAATTACTCTATTGCGCAAACGACCTTTTAAACATTTTGGGGGCACGTATGCCTATGTATCTGGTTAGTCTGACGAAAACCTTGACAATGACACACTGGGAAATGCCCTTTTCTCTTCGGGTTTATACTGAAGAGCCCCATATTAAAGGATATTGGCTCTAATGAACACTTCTGC